GGATGGGACGAGACGGGGGGGAAAGGAATGGTGTTCCAATCACTTGGACGGTGGGGAATTGAACGCCGACCTGCAATTAAGCCAGGCCGTCGCTCTACCGTCCAGCCCAAGTGGTTGGGACAGTTATCAAGGAGGTATTAACAGTAGTTACCACCTCCATCCCTCCGTAATTAGGAGTTTGGGGTGATTGTGATCCTGGATAAGTCCCAGGAGTTAGAATCACGGTATGACTAGATTACATCACGTCTTTACAATCATCTCATTATCCAAATTTGTGGCATAATGTGAGCCAATATGGCGCTGCTCTAACGGTAAACCAATATAGTCTTGGGTTTATAAAACCTATAATGGCCTGGCGCTTTCTCCTGATAGTGCCCTTCCTCTAGTAATGGTAAACTACACTGCTTTTCCAACACATGTCAAACTTTCAAAGTGTGAGCTAAATGTTACTCACATTATCCCAAGAATGTGAATGTGATTTTAGACGGCTGTACATAAATCAGCAGTCTTATGGAATACAGGGCCCACATTATCAAGTCCTTATCTTGTTAAATACACACAAAGATGGAGGAAAACATAGAGGTATGATACCAGACTAGTTCCAGAGCCGAGAGGTAAGAGTTCCCAGGGGTTAAACCTCGCGTCTCTGAGAGATGCAAGAAACTGGAGACATGATCACGATATACAAAACTCTCAAGGATATAGACATGGCAGACGAGGACCTACTTTTAGTTTTTAGCAAGGGTGGTAGAGGAACGGAGGGACACGGGGGGAACATGTGCCCTAATGAAGGAAAGACTGATTAATAACAATGTTCTCAGTATGACAGTAGAGAACAGATGACATGCACAGAAAAAATGAAGCATTGGAGGCACAATCCACAAACAGCTTCATATGTTTGACCAGACCACACACTAGAAGGTGAAGGGACGACGACGTTTCGGTCCGTCCCGGACCATTCTCACAATCGACTTCAGAATGGTCCAGGACGGACCGAAACGTCGTCGTCCCTTCACCTTCTAGTGTGTGGTCCGGTCAAACTACTTCAGCCACGTTATTGTGACTCATCGGCTGGCAAACCCCTTCATATAACCGATCCCAACACCCATCACGGGTGCCTGTGCAAAAAGTTGCCAGGAGGTCGAGAAACAAGACCGAGGAGGAGCTGGAGCTCAACGCCTTCGAGCACAATTGAGGAGTATAGAGGCACACAAAGAGAAACGTCCACACACACACCCACAAGTATTGAGGCGAGCACAGACACAGGTGACCGGACAACGATACACTGAGAGCAATGACCATGAAAGATTGAGGCCACTGACCACTGGGAACAGGAACAGTGTCAGTGGCCGAGAGGTCCAATACCGTGAAGGTAAATGCCAGAAAGGTTAGAGAATCCCCAGACAACACCATGCGAAGTACAACTCAATAAAACGTACAAAATTGATGAACATAAAAAATTTAAAGATGCCCCCTTAAGAATAAGCAGCCGGGACGAATGGAGCAGGGCAAAGGCTAAGAGACCGGGAGAGAGATCAGAAGACAGAGAGACTGTCACTTACGCGTGCAGCAGCAGCAGGAGGAGGAGGAGGAGGAGGAAGCAGAGGAGGGCAAACACAGACAAAGAGCAATATGTGTTGTGCCAACAGAGGCCAGCCACCGGTACAGAGAGGAGCACTGGCCAGGAAAAGTTGTCACCTCACACAAAGACTGCCGCCCTCTTCCCTCACAAGTCATATGTACTCTGCGTCCACCGTGGTGGTGGTGGTGGTGGTGGTGGTAGATGGTAGTCGTCGTGATATTGGTGGTGGTGGTACTTATGTATCAGTGTTTCCCTACCAGTGACTATGGTGGAGTGAGGTCTAGCTCATCATGCCCCGCCTACCACTCTTGTGGTACCCGTTGCGTTGCTATTTAACTGTTCTAATATCCAGTCTTTCTCGAATCTTGCCTTTCAGTGCATTTCAGTTCGTGACTACAGTCAACAATACCCGTCTCTGTTTCAAATTGCCTCTCAGCTTCTCTCCTAACTCGAGTATATTCTCTTCTGGATTTCTTCAAATACCTCTCGATTCCCCCTGTTCCTAGTTCTCTGTACTTTTCTGGGTTATTTTTTGTTCTTTCTTTACCTTCCCTGCATTGCACATTTTCATTCGCCTCCTTGTTGAGTGGTATGAACCGCTCTTTTGTATCGATACATTTTAAGAGCAATGAATTCCACCATTTTATTTGCTGTCTTTCCGTCAATTTGTCTCTCCATATGGATTCCGTGCCTACTGGATCCCTACTTGATGGGGTTCTGGGAGTTCTACTCCCCAAGCCCGGTCCAGGCATGCCTCGTGAGAACTTAGTCCAAAAGGCTGTTTCTTGGAGCGTTCCCTTTATGGTTTAGATACTTCTGGTCTGTTCTCTCCTTTTCCTACCTACATAACCTTACCTTTATTAAAGTTGAATTCTAACATCCACTTGTTTGCTTACGTCTGGAGTTTCTTAAGTTCTTTCTTTATATTCTGCAGTCTTCCTCGGTTTTTGCATTCCTCATTACCTTTACGTGACGTGTAAACATTGACACTTACGATCATTCATGTAAACGGGAACATGAGTGTTCCTGGGAGCGACCTCTGAGGGAGGCAACTTGTCACATCCCTCCAGGTCGACACTTACTCTCTGACTATGACCCTCTGGTTTCTGTCCTTCAGGTGCTCCCTTATCCAGTTCAGTGTTATTCCTGCCTGACACTCCATTCTGTACACCAGCCATCATGAGTAGTGGTGTCTTTTTGACAATCTAGGAAAAAATCTATATATAGGTCAAGCCTAGACAGAGGGGCGGGGCCTAAAGGAAGGGTGGGAGGTCTATGAAAGGCTTGTGAGGGGGGGGGGGTGTGGGCGTGTCATGAATGAAACCAGCAACCAATCAATAAAGAGCTGACCCCCCATCCCCTCCTGCTGCTGCTACCTGTAACCAGCCCAACACGCTAATACCATTAACAAAGCCATTATCCAAGTCATTACATCAGCATGGGTCCCTCCCCCCTTACTCCCACCACAACACCCGTTTACAAAGTTTGTTTATAAAGTACTCGATGTGACAGATTTCCGGGAAAGCTTTAAGGAAGGAAACGGTCGTCCCAGTATTCAAGACGGGGGAGAGGTCGGAGGTCACTAGAGTACAGAGGCCAGATTCACGAAGCAGTTACGCACGCACTTACGAACCTGTCCATCTTTTCTCAATCTTTGGCGGCTTTGTTTACAGTTATTAAACAGTTAATGAGCTCCGAAGCATCAGGAGACTGTCTATAACAATAACAACAGTTGATTGGGAAGTTTTCATGCTTGTAAACTGTTTAATAAATGTAAACAAAGCCGTCAAAGATTGAGGAAAGATGTACACGTTCGTAAGTACTTTGCGTAACTGCTTCGTGAATTTGGCCCCAGATCTGTCACTGCTACTCATGAACATATACCTGCTTGATTTCTTGATATCTAACTATTTTGAGAAGATTTCCACCTCTGTTCCTGCAATATTTCCCAACAAGCATTATAAATACTGCTGGAACATAGGTGGATGTCTTCAACAAGTAATTGGGTAAGTTCCTGCAAGAAGTGCCGGACCAACCGGGCTGTGGTGGATATGTGGGCCTGCGGGTCGCTCCAAACAACAGCCTGTTGGACCAAGTTATCACAAGTGGGCTTGGGGAGTATAAGAACTCCCAGAACCCCATCCAGGTACAATCAAGGCACAAGAGATCACCGGTAAGGAAGTTCAAGAGAGCAAATACTTATGAATTAAGTTTTCATTTTATTATAGTTCTGAACTTGGTATTAATACTCACTAAGACTCCACTAAGTTGCCCCGGATGTGCTCGTCACTCCTCAACTTACCTGCAAGAAAAAAACCGTATTGCAATATCATTTAATACTAAAACAATTAAATATTTGTCATATTACTTTGTGTTTACCACAGAACACATTCCTTAGTCTGTCTCTTATCGTTTGACCAAAATGGAATGATTCACGACTCGTATTCATTTGCCGTTTTGGTGGTGCTAACAAGTAATCTCCACCATGGAGAGCTGCAAGGGTCAGGAGGAACACAAGACGAGGACAGAGGAGGAACGTGTGACAGGAAAGGTGGAAAACTGAGAGATGGAGGGATCACAAGTCGAGCCTGGCCTCAGGGAGTAGAACTACTCCCAGAACCCTCTCCAGGTATGGTCCAGGTATGGGAACAATGGAGAAGGCAGCAGTAACACCAGAGAGGGGGGGGGGGAAGGACAGCAGTAACAGCAGGGCAGGAGGAAAGGGCAGCCATTACAGCAGGGAGCGAGGTAAATGGCAGCAGTAATAGAATGAATGGAAGGAAGGAGGGAGAAGGCAGCAGCACCAACATCAAGGAAGGAGGAGAAGGCAGCAGTAACGAGGCTCCAGTAAAGCTGTGCCGCCCATGTTATCTCACCTGCCGCCACCACCTCTATGGCAGGCGAGTGGTGCCGCCCAGCCTGCCTGTGTGTAGCGTTAACACATGTATAATAAATACCAACTAAACGATGTGTGTCTAAATGAGCTGTAATTCCAAGTTCACTGAAAATTGTCCTACGAGCGAGGAACTTTTTTAAAACATGGAAATAGGAGACTCACCTATGAGGACGCTTAAGGACTCACCTATGAAGACGCTGAAGGACTCACCTATGAGGACGCTGAAGGACTCACCTATGAGGACGCTGAAGGACTCACCTATGAAGACGGTGAAGGACTCACCTATGAGGACGCTGAAGGACTCACCTATGAGGACGCTGAAGGACTCACCTATGAGGACGCTGAAGGACTCACCTATGAGGACGCTGAAGGACTCACCTATGAGGACGCTGAAGGACTCACCTATGAAGACGCTGAAGGACTCACCTATGAAGACGCTGAAGGACTCACCTATGAAGACGCTGAAGGACTCACCTATGAGGACGCTGAAGGACTCACCTATGAGGACGCTGAAGGACTCACCTATGAGGACAGTGCCGTGTCCCGCGGTGTGGACGGTGAGGCCGAGATGATGGTCGAGCAGCGTGAGAGAGCGGCGGTCTGGTCGGTGGTGAGCCAGGTGGGACCCCTGGGAGTGGGTGTGGTGGGCCAACTCCTGTGAGGGGGAGGCAGAGCGGCCTGTGAGCCCCGGCAGGTCCCAGTCAGGCAGGGAGGCCGAGAGTGCTGGGTCCAGGGACATGAGGTCGGCACGGAACGCCCCGGCATCCATGGCCAGCACGGCATCCGGAAGCAGGAAGAAAGAGTCGCAGGGCCACGACTCGAACTCCCGCGGCTGGTCGAGGTGGAGGTGGCGAGGCGCGTCCTCCAGCTCCAGCGATGCTCGCCTCTCCGGCACCACATACAGCTCTCGCCGGGGCACCGACACTGATGCCGATCGCGACATGCCCCTCTCTACGGTCGCGCCGGCTCCTCTGTCTCTCTCAACACCTCAACAACTAGGCCAGCTTTGGTAACTTGTCTACACTAAGTCACTCAAACTTTAACTACAGCGTTATTTCCAATCCAATCTACGCACACACACACAGCTCATTAAGTCATTAGTTACTGTGCAATTCAAAAAGCAAGCCATAAATCCACCTTTGTAATTTACGAGCCTGAGAGAGGAGAGGTGTGAAGGAGGTAGCCCCCTTCAGGACACACGAGGTGATGAAATGTGTGTTGCTCCTTCCAACACAAGAGCTCTTGCTGCGTTGCTCGTGGTGTGCTGCCCACCTTCCCAGATACAGCTGTAGCATCACTTGTACGTTGGCCACTTTCCCAGATACAGCTGTAGCATCACTTGTACGTTGGCCACCTTCCCAGATACAGCTGTAGCATCACTTGTACGTTGGCCACCTTCCCAGATACAGCTGTTGTCACTCGCACACTGGCGATCTCAATCAACACTTGCCACATTTAATGTAAACACCAGTTTTCATAAACACTGACAAAATTTAGCTTTTGGCAGCATTATGTAATGTTTGTAACCGGACTGACATTAGTCAATATCAATAAATGTTTTTTTTCTAACCTGAAAAATGTAATTCTATTCGTAAACAAAACAAAAAGCAGTGCGAGAGTAAAATCAAATTCAAAACAGAACAATACGATAGTTAACAACATATTACAACTTTAAGAGTCTGGATCCCCACAAGAAACTAAAAACGACCCGAGACTTAACACGATGGTTCGAGGCAGCAGTAATTACTGTGTAAACTAGGGCTGAAGATGTTATAACAACATTCTCACTCCCGTCACATTGCTATTGTGAGCACAGGTGAGTGTTTCTACAAACTGCCTCAATAATGTGGGTAGTGAGCAGAGGTGATGCCGCCTCCTGCAGGCATAGAGCATCTAGCTCCTCCTGCAGGCATAGAGCATCTAGCTCCACCTGCAGGCATAGAGCATCTAGCTCCACCTGCAGGCACAGAGCATCTAGCTCCACCTGCTGGCACAGAGCATCTAGCTCCACCTGCAGGCATAGAGCATCTAGCTCCACCTGCAGGCATAGAGCATCTAGCTCCACCTGCTGGCACAGAGCATCTAGCTCCACCGGCAGGCATAGAGCATCTAGCTGCACCTGCAGGCATAGAGCATCTAGCTCCACCTGCAGGCATAGAGCATCTAGCTCCACCTGCTGGCACAGAGCATCTAGCTCCACCTGCAGGCATAGAGCATCTAGCTCCACCTGCAGGCATAGAGCATCTAGCTGCACCTGCAGGCATAGAGCATCTAGCTCCACCTGCAGGCATAGAGCATCTAGCTCCACCTGCTGGCACAGAGCATCTAGCTCCACCTGCAGGCATAGAGCATCTAGCTGCACCTGCTGGCACAGAGCATCTAGCTCCACCTGCAGGCATAGAGCATCTAGCTCCACCTGCAGGCATAGAGCATCTAGCTCCACCTGCAGGCATAGAGCATCTAGCTCCACCTGCAGGCATAGAGCATCTAGCTCCACCTGCAGGCATAGAGCATCTAGCTGCACCTGCAGGCATAGAGCATCTAGCTCCACCTGCAGGCATAGAGCATCTAGCTCCACCTGCAGGCATAGAGCATCTAGCTGCACCTGCAGGCATAGAGCATCTAGCTCCACCTGCTGGCATAGAGCATCTAGCTCCACCTGCTGGCACAGAGCATCTAGCTCCACCTGCAGGCATAGAGCATCTAGCTCCACCTGCTGGCATAGAGCATCTAGCTCCACCTGCTGGCACAGAGCATCTAGCTCCACCTGCAGGCATAGAGCACCTGTAGGGTAGAGCAGATGCAACATGTGTTCCCCAAGACTCGTGTAAGGCAGACAGTGCCACCCACTCCCGTGCCTCTGTTGCTCAAGTTACCAGCTCTCTCTCAACGTCTCTATCTCCAAGTACCAACGGTCTTTAGCTACTGATAATCTCCATATTGTCTATGTTTATGGGAGCGTGCATGCGACTGTCCGCACCACTACCACAGGGCCACAATGCTTGCCCCCAAGAGCATTATGGGTAAGAGCAGTGCCAATTACAACTTCAACGAATACAGCCCAATTATCCTTAAATAAGATATTTTTCTCGGTATTATAAACATTGACTCACAATAACTTAGCTATTTGCTCTTTATGTTTGGATATCACGCAGATATCCAGTTATCGGACATGTATACGAAGCCAAGGGGACCCTCATAGAGACCCCACCCTGCACTCTGAGCAGCTCGTCTGCACTCATTGCACTCATCTTTTACATTCACTTTGTTATACACAGGTAAATCCTGCCCCAGTCAACATTATAATCAGACCCCAGCTGTGTCCCACAGTCACTCCACGACCCTAGCTGTGTCCCACAGTCACTCCACGACCCCAGCTGTGTCCCACAGTCACTCCACGACCCCAGCTGTGTCCCACAGTCACTCCACGACCCCAGCTGTGTCCCACAGTCACTCCACGACCCCAGCTGTGTCCCACAGTCACTCCACGACCCCAGCTGTGTCCCACAGTCACTCCACGACCCCAGCTGTGTCCCACAGTCACTCCACGACCCCCAGCTGTGTCCCACAGACACTCCACAACCCCCAGCTGTGTCCCACAGTCACTCCACGACCCCAGCTGTGTCCCACAGTCACTCCACGACCCCCAGCTGTGTCCCACAATCACTCCACGACCCCCAGCTGTGTCCCACAGTCACTCCACAACCCCCAGCTGTGTCCCACAGTCACTCCACGACCCCAGCTGTGTCCCACAGTCACTCCACGACCCCCAGCTGTGTCCCACAGTAACTCCACGACCCCCAGCTGTGTCCCACAGTCACTCCACGACCCCAGCTGTGCCCCACAGTCACTCCACGACCCCAGCTGTGCCCCACAGTCACTCCACGACCCCCAGCAGTCATTATGAAGAGTCTTTCATGTAATGAAACCTTAATTTAGTCTATCATTTTGCAGAGAAATTCTCTGGAATTACATTCCGGCCTCCATCATGTCGAGATAAAATTGGATTTGTGATATTAACACGAAAATTAAGTATAAAATTGGGTTGTCAAGTTAACAAAGTTGGAGCGTCCATGGAGGTCGACTCCCCATCGACATTAATAAGGGCGCAACTAACCTAATCAATGCTAATTAATCTAACTAAAACTAACCTAATTTAAATATGCACACGCCTAACCTGTCTAACAAATCCTAACTACCTAACTAATCTAACCAAACTTAACCTACTTAATCTAACGAAATCTAAACTAAACCTAAACTTAACTAACCATAACTACCTTAACTATCCTAGCATAATTGCACACAATGTACATATAAAAAGCAGCACCAAAAACCATTATTAATGTCAATAAAATAAGATGTCTGTCTGTCTGAGAGTGGAGGCCACCCGGAACTTTGTATGGTAACTTGTGACTGTATGGAGAGTGTCATAGGGGAGGGGGGGGGGTTTGGGGTTGGACCCCATGCCCCTCTTTATGAAGGATCGGATCTTATTCTGAATCCCAGCGACTCGTGTGAAATGTGGAGGTTGATTGTCCTTAGTGGGTAAGACAGGGAGTTATGTCACAGCTCCTTGTCCTCATATCCCCTTGTATATAGGTGTGAACATCTCGGAAAACATTAGATACAGGTGAACAGATGTGGAAGCCTCTCTAAACTAAGACACAGGTGTGGAAGCCTCTGTGAACTAAGACACAGGTGTGGAGGCCTATACTCTCATCTCTAAGAAACCAGAATACGGAGTGATCTTCAGTCCTGAGGCTGGAAGGTCATCACCATGGCAACCATCATTCCTCAGCATCACCCCCCCCCCGGGAACAAATCACAGATCCCCCCCCCCGGGAACCAGTCACAAAATCAGCAACAAGTGATGTTTCTCTAATCACAAAACATCTCACACTCCACCAAGCTCAGGAACCTGTGTAAGGAATCATTCAGAACCTTATATACCACATATGTAAGACCAGTCCTGGAGTATGCGGCCCCAGCATGGAACCCGTATCTTGTCCAGCACAACACGAAGCTGGAACAGGTTCAGAGGTATGCCACTAGGCTAGAACCAGAACTAAGAGGCATGAGTTATGAGGAAATGCTGCGTGAAATCCACCTCACAACTCTGGAAGACAGAAGAGTAAAGGGAGACATGATCACTACCTACAAAATTCTCAGAGGAATTGACAGGGTGGATAAACTAGTTCACACGAGTCGTACGCGAACAAGGGACATAGGTGAAGACTGAATCCCCAAATGAGCCACAGGGACGTTAGAAAGAACTTTTTCAGTGTCAGAGTAGTTAACAGATGGAATGCATTAGGCAGTGATGTGATGGAGGCTGACTCCATACACAGTTTCAAATGTAGATATGATAAGAGCCCAACAGGCTCAGGAATCTGTACACCAGTTGATTGACAGTTGAGAGGCGCGACCAAAGAGCCAGAGCTCAACCCCCGCAACCAGAACAAGGTTAGTACAACTAGGTGAGTACCACCGGCCCACCACTGATGGTAGCCCACCACCGGCAACGAAACACCGGATGCAAGAATCCGAGAATAGGAAATGATGAAATTGCCTCTTGCTACTGTCTTCTTCCTGTACACCAACACTGACTGCTCTCTCTACACCAACACTGACTGCTCTCTCTACACCAACACGTCAAACAATATGCCTCCTCCAGATACGACACAATATTCCCTACACACCAAACAATATTTCACACGCACCAAGCAATACCCCCCACATATTAAAAAAAATATCCTCCACATATTTAACAATATATCTACATTCCAAACAATATCCCCCATATATATGTAGTAAACATAATAGAGGAAAAATAAATTTGTTAGAAAGGCGGGGTCCAAGAGCTAATTCTGCAGATACCAATAGTAAATCCACACACACACACACACATACTTCGGACAATGTAATTGCAACTTATTCCTGGCGACAGTTCGCGGCGATGGTTGCAACACTGTTTTTGTCAAGGCAGTGTGAAGAAAGCCGCCTTCCTCCTGCACCGTACAATGTGGACAGGGATGACTCAAGACGGAGGAGGCTAACCTTCCGGGGCTCAACCTCAATGTTTTTGTTGTCTTGGTTCTCCTATACACGTTCTATTTCTTCGGCCATATTGCGGGTAGCTGGGCAGGATGGATGACTGGGTAGATGGGGGGGCTGGGTAGATGGGTGGCTGGGTAGATGGGGGTGGCTGGGTAGATGGGGGTGGCTGGGTAGATGGGGGTGGCTGGGTAGATGGGGGTGGCTGGGCAGGATGGATGGCTGGGTAGATGGGGGTGGCTGGGTAGATGGGTGGCTGGGTAGATGGGGGTGGCTGGGTAGATGGGGGTGGCTGGGTAGATGGGTAGATGAATAATTGATAGATATGCAGGATGTGTTGATGGGCAGAATGAAGAGATAGGTTTATCCGTTTAATGTAGGTCAGGCATGGTGGGTAGACGAGCAGGATGGGTAGATATGTATGTGGACAGAAAGGGGGTAGATAGGTAGATGAGCAGGATTGTGTGCATGGGTCAAAGAACGCTGGCAGCCTGTGCACAAGTGTTCGGGCCGGCA